TWAAAAAAAAAACAATCACTCAATATTGAAACAACCAAGCTAATATTATTTCCATTTCTCAGATGAGGACACTGCCTGAGATCACACAGCTAGTAAGTAGTGACAGTTAAAGGGTTAACTGGGCCAATCTTGAAGATGCCCAAGGTAGTTTTAAATAAAGTCCATAAAAAGCTTGACTTCTTTCAAATAATGTATAAAGGCTTCTGGGATAATCAATAAGCCAGGGGAAAAAATATTTCAAGAATTCTCACTGATCAAGAAAGGAAGTGTAGGAGATCCACACTAGAACATATAATCTCCCCAAAGAAAACAATTGGATAATTCTTGTATCCCATTTCTTTTCTATTTTTATACTCTACCTCAGAGGAGGTGGTTATAGTTACTTTCCTGGGAATGAAACCCATAATGTACCTATTTTTTAATTTTAAATTCTGAGGTGCTGTGTTGTTGTTGTTGTGGTTGCCAAGTTATTTAATATAGATTTTTCTTATATTCCTGGGTAAATGTTAGCTTTTATAAAGTTCAACTTAGTCTTTTATTTCTCTGATTCTTCTCGGTGCAAACCAGGCAAAAGCATATGTTGTTGGCAGTTTGTTGTCAGCTTATCTGCTAACAATGGTGCTGAGAAGGTATTTGAAACTAGAATGTACTTCCATAAAACATTTCACTTCTGTCAATCCCCCCCCCCTCGCTGATGATGGGGAAGAATGCATGCAACTCTGGCATCCAAGGCAAGAGAACATGCCTGCCTTTCATTAATGCTAATTTGTGAAGTAGACTAAAGGAGCCCACTATACCATCTCTGTCCACTGGCTTGTCAGCATCAGACACTATCTTTCATTCCTGTCACAATGACCCCCTTGCATCTCACAGAATTGCAAGGGCTAAGTGTTGTTCAAATGCTCTTATACCTAATCTTCACAACCATGTCAGGAGATAGGTATACTCATCATTCCCATTTACAGACAAGGAAACAAAGTCTTAGAGGGGCTGATTGACTTGCTCAAGGCCACAGAGCCAACAAGTGGCAGAAGAGGGATTAAGACACAGGACATACAGTTCTAAGCCATGGTGGGCTGGGCTGCTTGTTCACCTTCCTTGCTCTATGCTGGTCCACAGGGTAAAAAAAGAATGACCCCCTGCACTTCAGCAAGGCACAGAATAAAGTCCATAATGAATTCACAGGATAATTTTCCACAAAATCTTGACAATTCTTTATTTTTCTCATCATGGGAGAACACCTCCACATATTAGCAAAGAATTAACAAGTGTTAGATCATTCTCTTTAAGTGTCCTTACTGTTTAATTCTTAGTAAAATTCAAGAAACAAACAGCAATAAAAACTGTAATTCTCACTGTCTTTTCTCAGTGAGAAATGGACTGTAATTAAAGCAGTACACCCAGCCTTCCATATCCATAGGCTCTGCATTCATGAATTCAATCAACTACAGACAGAAAATTATTTTTTTAATTGTGTCTATATTGAACATGTCCAGACATCTTTCCTTATCAGTATTCCCTAAACAATACAGTATATAGCAATTTTTGACACAGCATTTATATTGTGTTAGGTAATCTCCAGATGATTTAAAATATTAATATTTAAAAATACTAATATTTAAAAATACTAATATTTAAAAATACTAATATTTAAAATATTAGAGAGGAGATATACAGGTTCTCTGCATATCTATGCCATTTTCTAGAAGGAACTTGAGCATCTTCAGATTTTGGTATGGGGAGGGTGTCTGGAACAAATCTCCTATAGATACCAAGGGATGACTATACTTTACTTTTTCACTTTTTAACAGTTCTCTCAGAACATGATCAGATTAATAGATTTCAGTGACCACATTAAGCTTGTATGATCATACAAGGAATTAACCACTACTAATCAATCTGTTAATCTAATCCATTCCTTTTCAAGTCATCCACAGATGTCTGGTTTTGCTTTAAGATTAGTTAAGCTYTTTGTATTTAAAAAAAAAAAGGAAAGAATGAATGAAAGAAAATAGGGAAAAAGTAAAGGAGCATAGTTAACTGTGCTGTGCTAGTTCTGCATACCCTGTCTATGCCACCCCGTCATTACTACCCCACAGACCTGATTGCTCCTCTACCAGCCACCTTCATAATACCAGGCTGACCTTCTACTGCTAGCCAGTATGCCTTGTGTTTTCTAAGAACAACTCGATCTCAGCATCAAGCCTCTTCACAGTGTTTATTTGTTTGTGGCTTGTACTTTGCTACCCCAAACTAGGCTGTTTCCAGTTATTCCTAAGTTTAGTGATATTCCTGATACAAAAAACAGATTTGAAATAGCTCAGAGAAAAAAAMCCCCACAAATCTGGAATATGTTAAGTCATCTATGATTAAACAGTCACCATATCTCATCTGAACCTTTACTCACAGTAGGTCCTCCACATGTAGTTCACGGTTGCCACAACTGGGGACAAGATAGAAAGGACAATTTCCAAACTTTTGAACCAGGCTTTGGTATCTTAATGGGACCTCTCGCTGAGAACCCACTGAGAAAGTTTGGGAACCATGGAGTTAAAAGTCTGTACTCATCTAAAATTGCCAGAGTTGACCCTCAAGGGTTCAGATGTGAACAAATGTGTCCCCCTCTCATCATACTGCACACAATCTACTAATTCTATTTCTGCTTCTGGTCAAGAACTGCAGCTGATAATTCTCAAAATTTTCCTATGTAGCAAATGTGAAAAATCACTCTAACATTCACTTTGATCTACACACAAAAAGATAAAGCCTACGACACCATCTGATTCTTCTCAATAGCTTATTCTCCAAGTATATCAATCTCTGAAAGTTCTCAACAGCAGCCTACTGAAACAGAATACAATGCAGATAAACACCCTTTATTCCAACCATCCTTACAGAGTTCACATACTCCCTATACTATGTGGAAAACTTGTTTCTACTTATACTTTGTGGCTCAATACCTTCCCCCTATATTGTCAATCATGTTTTCTTCTATCAATTATGGATCTCACTCCTAAGTGTCTCCTTTCTGGTCAATTATTATTTCTGTGATAAATTCCTCCCAAATAACCATGAATTGCCAAGTGGGCTTTCTATCATCTCTATAAGAATCTAATCTGCACTTATAATTTCATTGCCAATGAAAAAAATATATTTGCACTCACCAAGCTGCCCCAGGTTCTCTGAGTGTTTCCAAACCTCTCATCCTAGTTAACTTCTGAAATTGACTGGTTCCTTAACAAGTCACCTGAATAGAGCTTTGCCTCTGCATGCCACTCTCCTTCATAGTCTKCGGCAGTAGCACTAACTGCACCACCATGCACTGGTCCTTCAGCCTGAGAATGGGCCCTGCCACTAATCAACCATTATCACAGCACACAGCCATACTCCCTTGTCCTCAGGACTGGATATGGACACTGCCTATAGCCAACTACTTCATTTCTAGTCCCAGTCAGTCCTCATGACAACTTTAACAAAGACCTTAATACCCATGAAGCTACAGAATCTCTCCTGGCATACCACCTCCTTCTGCAATAATGCAATAACTACTTCTCTGCTAGCTCCTTCCCCTATTTCACTTGTGCCTCAACCACAGTACTGGCCACCAAACACCTCCCAGTAGGTCTTCCACAGAAGAAACACAGTACTATGGCTATCTCTCCTTTTAATGTTTATTAAAGCATAGATTAATCTGAATTGATAATATAGCCTTTTCCTAGAAACAACTCTTTGAACTATGAATGATCTATTCTAAAACTCTGCTCAGTAGAACATATATTTATACTTTCGATTATTATAGCAGTCTATTCATATGGGTATATACGTACACATGTATTTTCATAATTACACTTGACTTATTTTGATGTTGCAAGATGTAGAACTATTAGGCAAGAATACAGAAGGTGGTCAACACACCTGCTATGAATTCTTAAGGTCTAGAAGTCACGGCTCTCAAAAAAGTTTCTGAGTTATAGTAAGAAAATTAATTTTCTTTTCTTCAAACCCTATCTATTGGCATTTAGATGCTCGATTCCATGCTGTTGTTTTTTTCCATTGTCTCCAACTACACATTTTTACACAATGTCCTTACAACTGGAATAAAAATACAATGCAAAGCCATCAATACAAACGTTCCCAAAGCAGGTTAGAGCATATGGGCAATAGTGTGTGGGTATTTATTCTCTGCATAGCATGAACTTACACATACATATATATCTGAAAAAAAGTCTTTGAAAAGTAAGATATACACACTGAATCACATCAAATTTCATACAAAAACCTAGGTTTCTTTTAAGGAAAGAATAAAATGTTGAAGGCAAAGAAGAAAAAAAACAATGATGAAGCAGCAATGGCAGCAGCAAACCTGAAAGTTTCAGCTTTCATAAAATATATGGCTGCCTACTAAGAAAGCAAAAACCTTCAGGTGTAAATTTCTCATTCAAGCTTGCCAAAGATCAGCTTGGCTTTTATTGCTCCGTGTAATTTCCGATTTAGGTGACTTCACTGTGAGTGGGACTTTTTATACAACACATTACATCATAAATTAGTGCTCATAATGTTACAGCTTGGGCTTAAGAAGGCTGAAGCTTTATCAGAGATGTGTGGAGCTGCTGAGCCACCAGTGCTCACCAGCAGATAAAGAGCACAATGAGCTGGCAAGATCACAGGCCAGCAGCACAGTCTTCCCCAGATTCTGATTTGTTATCAGTTTCCGTGGAAAATCAGGAGGATGCAGCAGAGGAAACGTGAGGCCCCGGTGTCTGAGCAAACCCACCATCCGCTAACCCCCTGAGTCACTCACCTCGTAGCCTTTCTCCAGCAAGAACTCAGCCAAATATGAACCATCCTGGAAAGAGAAGAAAAAATGAGAAGCGTCAGACCTATGGTAGCTAGAATTAAAAAAAAAAAAAAAAAAAAATGGCCTACACTAAGAATAAAAAAAAAAAATGGCCTACACTAAGAATTTTGAGAAAAGCATTTAAGAGGTTTCTTGAACTAAAACAGAGGATCATGGCAACCAAAATAAAACAATACCAATAAAGACAATAAACACCATATAGCATTCTACTATTCCTAGGGAATTTTCCCAGACAGTAATCCATTTGCACTCCATAAAAGACAAAGGAAGAAACTGAAACCCAGAGGAAGTAGTTAACATGAAGAGAGAAAATGCAGACCTATAGAATCACATGGACTTGGGTTTACATTTTGCTACTCACAAGCCATATGAAATATGCAAATGTGTGCAATGTAAAATGCCTTGTGATAAACTCCTTCCAGATAACTGTGATTTGCCTTGGTGCTATGGGAACATAAAGCAGGAATATGACAAATTGAAGGGAGGTACCAAAAAGGAATCACTGGAGAAGGGTTCAGATGGAGACAAAGGAGGCTTGAAGAGGAAAGGGCAGGGAAGAGGAGGCAGAGAACATGCAGTGTAGGCATTACTGAAAAAGAGACTACTCAATAGAGTGGAAAAGCCAGCAGGGCAGTGGAGGGAAGTTAGCACCTTTAGGGAAGCCTTCCAGGCCTTGGAGGGAAGTTGGCTGCTAATCCCAAGGGCTCTGGGAAGTCATTGATGAGTTTAAGGGATTTTAGGGGTGTGTGTGTGTGTGTGTGTTGTGGGGCAGGAGGGGGGTGTAGATGTGACCAGATCTGTATTAACACAGTACATGTATGCTCCCACACACACATGAACTTTCAAAAAGGGGAGGATATTAGCTTTTCACAAATAAGTGCTTCATTTGTATTAATTTTCAGTCATGTAGTTAATCCCTACCTCAATACCTATCTCATGAAAGTGTTTGACTAAATACTGAGATTCTCAATTGGATTCTAATAATTCTTTCAAAAATTTCGAAGCAGGGTCTCTGTTTAAAATATTTCGTGTACCACTTTCAGGGAAAGAAAGTACAAAAGATAACTAATTAAACTAGTAAGAGGTCAAAAGCTGGGAAATCACCATTCAAGAGACACTTTAAAAGTCACATTTTAAATAGGGATCTTCTAACACTCCAGTCAGAATGGCAGCTATTATGAAGACAAACAACAATAATTGTTGGCAGGGATGTGGGGAAAAAGGCACCCTCATACATTTCTGGTGGGACTGCAAATTGGTGCAGCCAATATGGGAAACAGCATGGAGATTCCTTGGAAAACTGGGAATGGAACCACCATTTGACCCAGCCTATCCCTCTCCTTGGTCTATATCCAAAGGACTTAAAAACAACATACTATAGGGACACAGCCACATCAATGTTTATAGCAGCACAATTCACAATAGCTAAACTGTGAAACCAAACTAGATGCCCTTCAGTAGTTGAATGGATTAAAAAAATGTGGCATATATACAAAATGGAATATTACTCAGCAATAAAAGAGAATACAATCATGACATTTGTGGGTAAATGGATGGAGCTGGAGAAGATAATGCTAAGTAAAGTTAGCCAATCCCCAAAAAAACAAATGCCAAATGTTTTCTCTGATATAAGGAGGCTGACTTATAGTGGGGTAGGGAGGGAGAGCATGGGAGAAATACACGAACTCTAGATATGTCAGAGAGGTGGGAGAAGAAGGGAGGGGGCAGGGGGTTAGCAATGATGGTGGAATGTGATGGACATCATTATCCAAAGTACATGTATGAAGACATGAATTGGTATGAACATACTTTATACACAGAGATATGAAAAATTGTGCTCTATATGCGTAATAAGAATTGTAATGCATTCTGCTGCCATGTATTTAAAAAGTAAAATCAATTTTAAAATGTCACATTTTGTAATCAATCCTGTAATTGCTCTTCTTTTTTTAGCCCCAGTATGGAGTCCCATCTTCCCACCCAGACTTAACAAAAATGGGACACCGTAACTACTGGGAATTTGTGAACTCTAAAGTAGTTGGGGATGTTTGAAGTTTCTTGGGTATCTTCAGTTTTTAAAAGCTTAAAATATCCCTTTCAGCTTCAAAAGTTCCTACCAGATATCCAGGAAAAAGAAAAATAATGCAAACCTTATGATTATCATGACTTGACCTAAAGCTGGAACTGGAGCTACCCTATGGGTCCTGGAAGTGGCAGGGCTGCCAAGGAAGTGTATACAACATTAATGTAGAAGTCCTACATAAATTCAGGCAGAATGACAAGGCAAGGCATACAAGGGGCACATTTTGTGGTTCATTAAAACCTCCAGCAGATATTTTTCAGACTTCTTGACATAAATATTCTGGTTTACGGACTCACGTGGAGAAGAAAAGAAAGAGTTTGTGCTTTTCATCCCAATATTACCATGTGCATGGTTTTTACATGCTCAATACGTTAACTAAATCAGTCCATAACCTGTCCAATTCAGGCCAGGACAAGCCAGGTTGGCCTACACTACCATCACAAATGTTAAATCAATCAATGACAAAATACAGTAGTAGAAAAATATTTACAAGAAGAATTAACAATATGGCAATAGGATAAAAAGGCCTAGGAGTATAAAGCTTTGTTGTTGTTGTGTTGTTTTGAAGACAACACGTTCCATGTACCAAAATTCTCTTGAAATAACAAGTGAAAATGCTGTGTGTCCTACCATAGTTGCATAGGATGTTTTTTTTTTTTGTTTTTTTTTTTTTTTAAAAAAGGCAGAGGTACAGGGGATGGGGGTGGGGGGAAGCTGTGATTATTTAGAAAGCTGATGTGAAACAGACCTGACCAGCACTGAACCCTGTCAATAAGGTCTTTTTCTTCTCACCCAGGCTGCTTCTCAAACTTTCCAACCACACTGGAACATTCTGAACCAGCAGTGGCACTAGCTTCCTCCTCATTTCCTTGCCAGGCCTTTCCAGTGATAGGGCCCAGGCTACACAATGAGTGGGAAACAAGCCGAGCGTGGGCTCCTGGTCTCCTGCCCAGGGAGCCCAGCTGGCCTCCCCTGGGGGCCTCCAAGGGAGACAGGGTATCTGAGCAGGCAGGCGTCCTCTGAGCTATCAGGATGGTTGTTTCTACCCTCTCTTGAAGCACAGGCCGATAGAGAATGCTCCAATCAGACTAATGGCTGAAATGTCATACCAATGGAGAACCTGCAACTCACATTAAGTTCTGACACTTGACTCCTCTGAGACAAAGGCATGAGTCAGATAAATCTCTAACTTGTTCATTATAAACACAATTACTCTGGTATAAATCCCAAATTGGCTTCAAACCCTGAGGCAAAAAACTTTTTAATTTAAAAGATAATGTCCCAACCATGACCCTTTCAAATTTAATTCTGCATATGGTTATTAAGGGCATCTATTTCATATAAAATGCTATACTATTTTAGGCAATCACCATTGCTTTAATGTTTTCAGACACAGAATTTTTCTGGTCTTATTCTTAGAAGAACTCGGCTAGGAAGGTAAGCAGCCATTTGGAAACAGGCAACTGAGGCGAAGGAGGTTAGCAAACTTACCTAACAGTATACCACTAGTTACAGACAAAAACCAGAATTAGAATCCAAGTCCTTCATTATTTTAAACTAGAAAATAATCTCCTTACTTATTCTGTTCCACCTGGAAACTACCAAAACAATGTCAAGACCCAACAAAATAATAAGAGACCATAAAGGAATAGTTTTTCAAACCAGCTTGATTTAGTCATTTCCCATTACAGGGTGTTTTATGAATTAAACAAGGCTTCCAGTTTTAATCAAGTGACCCAAACCCAGAAAAGTCATGTAATTTTAGAACACTCAGAGCTCAGAAGAGAGAGAAAGGATACAATGCCTGAGATTTCCCAGGTCTCAGTTATGGGCATACATGCGCCTGTAGGGCAGTGCAGTATCATGTGGGGGTAGAACTGACTTGGTGGTGGACATATGTCAGAGGGAGGGATGGGGCCCCTGCCAAGAGCCAAAGGATCTGGTTTCAGTGTGCTTGACATCTATCATATTCCTTTGAAGGGTGAACCCTCACTTCCATGGAGTACTCAGAAATGTCCAATAGGAGTCACATAAAAATTAAGCATAATCCTAAAAATTAATAGTCATATTTTGACTATTATATAAAAAATGACTTAAAACTCCACATCTATTTAAAAAAAAATAAAGGAAACAGAGAAAGTTTCTCCCTTCTCCTAGTGGTCAGAGATGGCTAGAAAAAGCACTCAACTGATCTTTACACCCACCCATAAATGTTTCTTTTCTTTTCTCTCTTCCAAAGTGAATGAGCCTATAGCCCAGGTGGACAAATGAAAAGGAATGTTCTCATGTGCAACCTGAGAGCACGGCCCCTCTGAACTGCAGGCTAAATCACATTGTATGTTTCTGTTTATGCACCTTTTAGCAGCTTCTTTGAACAGGATAAGATAAGTAGTACTAAGCTGGAGAAACTGCACCAGTAATAAAATGAATCTCTTTGTTTAGGTCATCAAGCTTCAGGAAACAGAACACCCTGTCTGCATCACGAGAACGCACTCATTTACTTAGCCTTTCATGCTTTTACTCTGGGTATTCTAGTTATTCTAAAAAGACCAAGTTCAGAGCAAATCTCCACTACAGTATCAAGAAAATTCATCCCTCTATTAAAAGAACTAAAAACACCTCCATAATTAACAGAGGATGCTGTTTTGAATCAGAACAAAAACTTCCAGTGATTTAACCACTGGAGTGTGAAGCATCTAGGGGCAGAATATATTGGAAAAGTACTTACACCTGGTTCATGTTTGTCAAATCACTGGATAAAATCTCTGTCAAACTCACTGAATTCAAAAGACCATGGGGATTAATTAATCCAACCCTTTCATTTTACAGATCAGGAAATTGAGACTCAAAACAGTTAAATGTTTAGTATATAGTCATACACTGAGGAATGCATACACACACAAAA